CTTCTCTTCTCTTCTCTTCTCTTCTCTTCTCTTCTCTTCTTCCTGTGTTCTCCAATTTTTCACCAAGAGCTTACTTACATTTCATCACAATGATAGCAGTCTCGGGCTCCTTTGCAACTCCTAGAGATTTTATGATGGGGGCAAACCGCAGCTCCCTGTCCCTCCCTCTAAGAAGATCAGAGGGTGTTCCCTTCAGCTGGACTGTATTTATGTATACTGGGAAGTTCCCCAGAACCTCTTCCAACTTCTAAAACTCCCTCTTTATTCAGCAAATATTTATTGAGAAACTCATCGAGTGTCTGTCACTGTGAGATGTCAGGGATTATGATGGAAAAGAAGACAAAGGAGGCCCAGTGGATTGGGGAGCAGGCCTTACATAGATGATAGATGACAATACTAATAATCACTCCACTGTGGTTGTGGTGAGGGTGTAGAGGCCTAACCAGTCTGAAGAGGCCTTGAAGGAGAGACATTTCAGCCCACCAGTGGGCACCTCGTGCAGAGGGAATAGCCCGCGTAATGCCCTGTGGTGAGAAGGAGAGGTTTGCTGATAAAGGAACAGAAAGGAGGCAGTGAGGGCAGAGGGGAAGACGGATCCCAGGAGGCTGGACAAGGGCCTCCCCATCCTGAGCCTGCCTCTTCCCAGTAGCCCGACCGGACTGGGGGCCATGGTGTTGGCTTCCCTGCCCCTGAGGTTTGGGCTGCCGCATGGAGACATGACTTTCAATTTCACTCTTGACTCTTAGCTATTTTGAAGGCTTTGTGGTCAAGGGAAGAGCTTAGATTTGGGAAGATGTACTCAGGCACTTGGATGTTGCACTTTGGAAGAACTAATATTTACATGGTAGGGTTATTGTGAGGATTAAAGAAAATACTGTATAATAAAGCAGACAACAAATATTGCTCCCCTGTGCTTTCTTGGCAAACATCTCTTCCCTGTCCCCGTCACAGTACAGTTTCTGCTTACACTGCCTCAGGAACCTTCTCCTCGGGGAATGGCCCATCCTCATGGCCCTTCTCTGGGCTCTTATTTAGTCCCTGACTTTGTAATATTCTTTTAGGTTTAGTTTTTTGAAAGTTGAAATGAAAGCTGTCCATTCAAAAATAATCCCCCCTGCTCTTTTTTTGGCTAAGAGGCATAAAGGAAAAAATGAAATCCTGTTTTAACTGAAGACACTGGTATTAAAAGTCTGGGTTCCATCCTTTCCAATGTTTTATACACACAAACAGACATTTAAAAGAAAAAAAAAACAAGAATAGGGAAATGACTGGTTCTCACTTAACAGATCTTGGCTGTCTTTTCACGTGGGTAACCGTTAGGTCCATGAATTTCATAGACCTTGTTGTGTTGTCCGTGACATTTTGTGTTTTCTTCCGTAGGCGGTGGTCCTCGTGTCCCGGCAGGGCAGGGAGGCAGAGTGGTCTGCGTGCGGCCACCTGAGCCTTTTCCTGAAAGCCGGTCCATATGGGAAAGGCTTTGCTCTGCAGAAATGCATTTCTGCTTCTGTCAGCCTCAGCTTGTTTTTCAGGAAGTGGGTGGGGTCTGACTGAAAGAGTTTGCTTTTGTTTCCTGGTACATAGAGAGTTTCATTAGAGCTTTTCCTCTTCCTAATTTTATGTCTGGGAAACCAGAGGCCTGGACTCGCAGCTCATCATTCCACCAAGAGCCATCTGACAACGTCTTCATCTAAATTTATGTACACATTTCAGGAGTTGCATTAGTGCCTGTGGGGCCCAAGCACGAAGGCCTCAAGTGGAATCATTTTCTGGAAGTAAATGCAGAGCATCATAATTCCTTATGTCTTTCCAAGTATGTATGGAAGGGTGGAAGCAATGGGTGTTTTGTTTTTTAGTTTTTTTTTTTTTTAAAAAGCTCCCATCACAGAGAAACAATACAAAAGGGTATAAAGACAGAATTGAAAGTCATCCCAATGCCCAGTATCCCCGCCCATCCCACTGTCCCCTCCTTAGAGGTCATTACTGTTAATAATTTGCCATGTATCTTTCTAGACTTTTCTTTGGCAAAGTTTAAAGAAATGGACTTAGAAGATTTTCATTCTGCCACAAATGAATGATTTTAAAATGCAAATGACAGTTTTGCCTGCCAAAAAATATGGTGTGAGTTGCATGGAAGGAATTTTGGCAAAAGTGGCTTAAAAATCAGTGGGAGGGCAGAGTCGCTCTCATGGAATTCACACTTCTGCATGGTGATTGCCAAAGTACCAGGGTTAGCCCAAGGGGATATAGGACGTAGGTCGGTTTGTCTGTGAAGTCTCAGTCCCTGGGTTTTTCTCGCCCTTCTGTGCTGTGGAGGCTCTGACTCCATCCCCCTGCATCTAACAGAGCCTGCAGTATGGGGAAGTATACTTTGTGTCACACAGAATTGGTCTTGAATCTAGATATGTGACTATCAGCAAGTTATTTAACCTCTCTGAGCTTTGTTTTTCTCAGCTATAAAGTGGAGAGGACAATTGCCACGTCATAGGGTGGTTGTCTTCACAACTTAGGTGTACTAAGGGACACACCCAACCTATAGTAGAGGCTGAACAGATCTTAAGTTCCCTTTCTCCCACTTCTTGAGCCTTCATAGTCTACACGGGTGTTAGGACTTGGCCATGTTACGCCTTCCCGAGGGTGTTTGCATTTCAACCCTGAGCAAAGCTTCAGGTGAAGGAAGTAAGGCACAGGAAGATGGTTTTGGAGTGAAGTCATGCTGCCTCTGCCTGGCTTTTCAGAAATATTTCATGAATGGTCACAGCAGGTTGTGTACTCACCCCCACCTCCTTTTCTCAGAGCGGGCTCCAGAGTCAGTCCTGACCTCAGGGGATAATGTGGCTGCCAGGGGGCAGCCCGCATTCTTCTCCCGCTCTCTCAGCCTCCTGTATTGCAAGTGATGTGTTTCGTGATGAGGTTGAGGGCACACGGAGGAACTGAGATCAGGGGAAAAGCAGCATTACCAACTTACTAGGAATGTGAGAATGCAGGCACTTGATGTTGTCATGATGGACAACACAGGTCTGTCTGGCACCTTTGTAAGAATGAGAAAGGTGCCCTGCTCCGGGGCGAGGTGCCCACTCTTGGGTGGGTGGTTAGGGTTTCTGTAGAAATTTGAGAAAGGTACCCTTCCTCTACAGTAAAAGGCTGGCTCCACCCATGCTGGGTGCTAGTGGGAGAACAGCGAGCAGGCAGGGTTTCCCCTGTTTCTCTTTGCCACTGGGCTCCTCTGTGCCAGCACAGCCCGCACAGTCATATATGGTGCACCCATTATCACAGCTGTTTCCACGAGGCCTAAATGATCATTACCCTTTTCTCCTTTCCACCTTCTTAGCGTCCTGACTTAAGCAATGGAGAACCTACCAGGAAACTTCCCCAGGGTGTTGTCTACGGTGTGGTGCGGAGATCAGATCCCAACGAACAGAAGGAAATGGTGGTGTATGGGTGGTCCACCAATCAGCTGAAAGAAGAGATGAACTACATCAAAGATGTGAGTCATTTAAGGACTTTTGTTTGTTTATCCTCTTTTTGTAGCATGTGAGAAGGTGGAGTCAGAAGCATGGATGTGAACGTGATAAGACATTTTAGAAGAATTCCTAGTGTCGCCTTTTTGGGTGGAAATATTTCTACGTATCTTTATGGTAATGTTAAAAATACGGATGTAATTCTGCACTGAGGTACAGAGTGAACTTCTGGATGTTACTAAGCAGGGGTACTCAGGAGACCAAATGATTCCTTTCCATGAATGATACAGAGGCTTTTAAGCAATTTTGCTTATTACATTGGATATTCTACTCTTAATATATAAGTTTGGAAAACTATAAATTCGTTTGCTTTTCACCATAAGTAACGGAAAAGCCAACAAAGGAAATTTGTGTCATGTGGGGCTAAGTCCACGGGTGGGTGGGCTCCAGGCAGGGCATGTCCAGTCTCCAGTCCTACTTCTCTGAGTTTCGCTTGGTTCTTTCCTCCTTCATCCTCAGGCTCATGGCATCATCTGAGCATGTGATGGTGTCTGGAGGAAGAGAAGAGGCCGCTTATCTCTGGTTTCTTTTTAGAGGCCCTCTTTTAGGCTTCTCCTCATGTCTCATTGGCCAGGACTGGGTCACATGCCCATTCCCAAATCTATCGCTGGATGGATCCCCTGCCGAGGAGAATGAGATTGATGATGGCTGGCTCAGACCAATTAATTATGTTCAAACAGATGCTGAGAAGTCAACCACACTAGACACAGTCCGTCCTAGGCCAATCAATGCCATTTCTTTGTGTTTAATATTCCATTTCTTCTTAATTACACACTCTTTGAAGAAAGAATGGGAAATACAAAAATGTATGAATCCATACATTTTTTATTATGAATCCATAATTCTGACATTTAACCAGAACTGTTGTTAAGGAGCATTTCCTTCTAAATTTTTTATTTCTTTTTGTCTTCTCTCCATCCATCCATCCATCCATCCATCCATCCATCCATCCATCTATCCATCCCTCCATCTATCCATCTATCTATCTCCTTTCCTTTTTGGTTATTTTGGCCTCTCAGTACCCTTGTTTTCCAAATCAGTGTGATTAAATAGCACATGAGTTACTTTCATGCTCATGGGCTCTGAACACCAACCTGTGGCCTAGAAAGTGCTCTTGAGAAACAGAGCCAGGTGGGGCAGTGGCCTACCCCAGAGGTACCACGTCTGTTTTTGGCCCAGCCAAGGTTTTGTTCTCTCTGGGCTTCAGTTTTCTCCTGTGTAGATTGCAGAGTTTGGGAAGGGGCCCCCAAAGTCAAAACTGCTAGCTTTGTGGGGCACCTGGGTGGCTCAGTCGGTTAAGCATCCGACTTCGGCTCAGCTCATGATCTCGCAGTTTGAGTTCGAGCCCCGCGTTGGGCTTTGTGCTGACAGCTCAGAGCCTGGAGCCTGCTTCAGATTCTGTGTTTTCCTCTCTCTCTGCCTCTCCCCCACTCGTGCTCTGTCTCTCTCTCTCTCTCTCTCAAAAAAAAGCATTAAAAAAATTTTTTTAAAACCTGCACACCCCATTTTATTTGGTGCGTTTGCAGGCAAGATACAAAGTCATGTTGTCAACTTTTATATGGATTTTTTAAAAGAACATCTCTGATCAAATATTAAAAATAACTGTTGGACACCTTCTTTCATGTCTTGAAAGATTTGGGTATTTGTATAATTAAAAGGAATAAAACATAATCTTGTCCTGATTAAAAGTAGTATTATAATACTACTATAATAAATGTAAATAAATGTATAATAAATGTAAATCATTATAATAAATGCTTAATAGAGAAAATAAAAGCAAAACGAGCTATACACATACACAAATGCATAGGACATGTGTTATCTCAAATCCCTAGTCATCCTATCCCCAAATACAATTTGTAATCATTCAGAATATATCATTCCTGATTTTCATATATAAGAGCAACTTGAACATTCCTAGTCTCCAGTATTTTTCTTACAGAAATACTTAGTCCCTCCTTACTTAAAGTCCTCGGATAACATGGCAGTGCTTCAGACGTAAGCCTTTTAAACAAGGCTGAGACTTGCCATTTGCCCAAGACAAAAACAGCAGGTGGAGGCTGTTTGTGAACCAGGGGTGACATGTGCCTAGGTCACAGGAGTGGTTCTGACCTGAATTGCCAGCCTCCATTAAAAAATTAATTTCCAGGTTCCACCTCCTATAGTTGGCTTCAGATCCATCTCGCGCTGGCTCATCCCTAAGCATGTTTATGGGGTTGTTTGTTCTTTCTTGCCATGAGTGACTCTGGCCCAGTTAGCTTCCTGCAGTATTTGCCACCCAGCTCCCCCAGTCCCCACTGGTGAGCAGTACCAGAGCCAACTCAGGGCCACGGTAAAAGCCATTCTGTCTACCCAGAGTGAAGAGTTGTGCTTTTGGTCTCATTTTTCTAAAATGTTTGTAGATGACAGGAAGAAAGTAGACTCTTATCAGAATTCATCTAGTGAAGGCTTGGCCTCTTGCCTTGCACCCCCCTCTCCTGCACCCCCTGCTGAAATATTTACCAATATGCAGTCACCCTGAATAAACATGCAGTCTGATTTAAAGCCATGTGCTAGCTGTGCAAATGCAGCTTCAAGGTGAAGTCTCCCCATGCTGTCCCCAGCACACTGGTTATTCCAACCAACTGTTGCCTTTGAGCCCTTCTGGCATTGGAAGTTCTGGAGCCTCCCTATAGAGGGCTCCCTTGAGACCTCTTTTCCTTTTTTTTTTTAATTAAAAAAATTTTTTTTAAATTTATTTTAGAGAGAGAGTGAGAGCAGAGGAGAGAGGCGGAGAGGGAGAGAGGGAAAGAGAGAGAGAGAATCTTAAGCAGGCTCCACACTCATCACAGAGCCTGATGCAGGGCTCAATGGCAGGACCATGACCTGAGCTGAAACCAAAAGGTGGACACTTCACCAACTGAGCCGCACAGACGCCTTGGGGCTTCTTTTCTGTTGGAGGATTCCTGAGTTCTCCATCAGAGGGGTAGCAGAAGAAGGGAGGAGACAGGGACAAGGTTTTTTGCTTTTATTTACAAAATTTGTAAGGCTCTCCTTACCACTCCAGAAGTGCTACTATAGGAAAAACTTAAACAGTGATTATGTAAACAGATGTTAGGGGTCACCCTGACTTTTGTTCTATTTCATGCCTTATTGTGATTATTGAAGAACTGATGTTCAAATTTATGGGCTTTCTAGGCTCCTAATTCCCTGCTGTTCATCCCAGGTATTTAATTGCTCTTTGTTGGTCAGAGTGGAGATAGAGAAAATTAGAAGTTGCTTTTTGCTTTTTGGATTTTTGATTCCTCTTAGCTGCCTGTTTATAGAGTCAACTTGTTAAAATTTTTGTACTTACAAAAATGTGCAATAGAAAGAAGGGTAAATCAAGGAAAAAAAAAAAAGAAAAAGAGGTAAATCTTACCTGAATGTGGTTTAATAGGTGATAGGTGAATTTCAACAAACCATTTTTTCTTCAGAGCTTATTATTTAGTAATTAATCTTTATTAATAATTATATACAATCATAGTACATATTTATTATCATTGTTATTATTTGGACAATACCACTGGCTCTTAACTAGATGTCAGGATGATTTTTCTCCCTTAATCTCCCCAGTGTCATGTACTTAAAATTGTGTGTGTGTGTTTTTTGTGTGTGTGGGCCCGTCTTCCCATTAGGGTTTCTTAAAACCCTTAAATTAGGGTTTTGGCAGTCTTATGTAAAAGTGTTATAACTTGATCTTTAACCAGCATCTTTGTGGGCTGCAGGTGAGAGCCACTTTGGAAAAAGTAAGGAAGCGAATGTATGGAGACTATGATGAAATGAGACAGAAGATTCGACAGCTCACCCAGGAACTGTCAGTAAGTCAATGTCCCAGTGACTTGGAAATATGGAAGGATGGTAGGTCTTAGAACTGCCTCCCAGTGGCTGGTACCTGAACATATCTGAGTTTATGATGTTCTTTGTGAATGGCATCCTATTTTAAGTGAACTGAGATTTTATCACAGAATTAAGCTTATTATTTTGAGGAATATTTTTTGTGGCAAGAATAATCTTTGCCTTCAAAGCATTCCCTGTAGAGTCAGGAACAAGACAAGGAAGCCAGCTATCATTGTTACTATTTAACATTGTACCTAAGAACTAGCCAATGGAACTAAACAAGAGAAATTTAGTGGTATAAAAACTGGGAGGGTAGATGTAGGGCTGTCACTGTTTACAAACTATATGATCATATACCCAGAAAGCTCAAGTGAACCAACGAAAAAAACACTACTATAAAAAATAATTTTGTAAGGTAGCAGGATAAAAAAAATTAATAGATACAAACAAATGGACTTCATCCTACAAAAAACAACCAGTTAGAAGTAATAAGAGCAACAGAAAACCACCAGATACCTAGGAGTAAACTCTAACAAGAGGAAAGACATACCATGTGCTAAGACGGGAAACACCAACATCAGTCAGTATTGTTCAGGTTAATATACAAATGTAATGTAACCCAATAAAAATACAAACAGATTTTTATTTTATGTTGTGTCTTTACAGCTGGACTAGGTGATTCCAAAGTATACAGAAAATAAATATGAACGGTTGAAATTCTGGGGGGAAAAATACAACGAGGGAGACTAGCTCAATTAATATTACAAGAAACTGAGAGACTGTCAGAGATTAGAAGAGTATCCTATTGGCACATAAATAAATAAGCATCCATGAAAAAGCCCAGAAATTTACCCCAATATATTATAAACGCAACATCTCAAATAAAGGGAGGAAAATGGACCAGTCAGCATATGCTGTTGGGACAGACTTACATGTAGATAAATTCCAAAGAGATCAAAGATTTAGATATTGAAGGTAAAACTTAAAAGTGCCAGAAGAAAATATATTTGAATTCTCTTATACTCTAAGGGTGAAAAAGGCTTTTTATTACTCTGACATGAAATCTCAGGACCATAAAAGAAACGTTTGGTAATTTCGACTACGCTGACATGAAAGACGTGCGCTGGCAGGGCCACTAGTCAAAATCCAAGGACAAACCTAGGAAAACTGATTTGCCCTTCGTCTCCTAGATGACAGGCTAAGTTTCTGAGTATTCAAAAAAGTGCCCAGGCATCAAGAAGAAAAGGCCACAAGCCATAGAAATAGGCAAAATATTTGTTACAAGTAACGTACAGCAAGATGAAGGTGAAGAGTTCTTCAGTGTCTGACAGGATGCTCAACCCCACTCCCAATAAGAGGGATGCAGACGCAAACCAGCCTGAGATGCAACTTTTACCTATGAATTCAGCACACCTGCAGGACAGGACAAGACATCGTTAGCAGTGCTGTGGAGAAACAGTCAGGTGGCTGGATAGGATGTCATTGTGTAGTACTCCCAGGGACAGCAAAATGGCCGTATCTGCCACATCCTATATCCTGTGACTCAGCAATTCCGTTCTTAAGAACGTACTCTATAAACTCTCACGTTGTGAAATGACCTATGTGTCAAAGTAGTTATCACAGCACTGTTTGTAACAGTAATGAGATTGGAAACCTAAACATCCATGAAGAAGGGGAAAGTAAAATAAATTGTGATCCTACAGTAGAATATGCAGAATTTAAAAAGAAGGTGGGGAGGAGGTGGGGAGGGGAGAGGAGAGAATAAAAAGAACAAGTAAGCTCTTCAAAAACAGATATGGAAAGATTTCAAAGATACAGAGTGGATGGTAAAAAAAAAAAAAAAAAAAAAAAAAAAAAAAAAAAAAAAAAAAAGCAAGATACAATACCTACAAGGAGCCACCACTTATGTAAAACAGAAGGGGAAAATAAGTGTTTAGCTAGTTTTGCAGGTGCAAAAGTAGTTGCTAGAAGGATGATCCAGAAACTTAATTTTTTTTAATGTTTATTTGTGAGAGAGAGAGAGCGAGTGAGCACGAGCACAAGAGGGGCAGAGAGAGAGGGAGACACAGAATCCTAAGTAAGCTCCAGGCTTTGAGCTGTCAGCACAGAGCCCAATGCGGGGCTCAAACTCACAGGGTGTCAGCCAAAGTTGGATGTTCAACCGACTGAGCCACCCAGGGACCTCTGATTCTTTTTTATTTTTTAATGTTTATTTTTGAGAGGGGGAGGACAGAGAGGATCCAAAGTAGGCTGTGTGCTGACAGCAGAGAGCCCGATGAGGGGGCTCGAACCCCTGAACTACGAGATCATGACCTGAGCTGAAGTTAGGTGCTTAACCAACTGAACCCCCCGGTGCCTCTCAATAATTGTGATTCCTGATTGAAGATCAGAGTGGGCAAGGTGGTGCCTGAGTAGATGGGATGGGAGTGATAGATGTATTTGAATGTGTACCTTTTATACTTTGTAAGTGTTTGAACTGTGTGGATGTATTACAGATTTAAGAAAAAATAACATTCCTGTGGTTTAAACAAACTAATGCCTGTGAGAAAAAAATTTTTTTTATATTTGCAATTCACAGTGTTGAAGAACAAAAGCCCATGCATATATGACCTACTTTCCATAAAAATTAGTTTCTGCAGGAAGGAAGCATAGGTACAGCAGTTGTGCATTAGGGTTTAGCATATGGCTTGGCTGCGAGATGGTCTGCTTAGGTAAGACCCGCTGCCTTGACGATAGGCGTGGGGCTGTGTAAACATACCCACCTAGCCCATTGTCACTGGCTTGTGGGAGGACACTTGTGAAATTCTCACATACTTGTGGAAATTTCACTCTGCCATCCACTGACACATGTCAACATCTGTAATTAAAGCCAGGGGATGGGATTTGCAATAGATGCACAAATAGTCTCTGCCCCTGGCTTTCCATTACCGTCTCCTGCACACCCTCATTTTCTCTTGTGAGAATGGTCATGGGAATGCGTCTCTCTGCCTATAGTCTTCTCCTCCTCCAGGCCACCCCACATTCCACAGTTGGAATAAGATTCCTAAATTCCTGCTGTGTGAACACACCCGTGAACAAGAGTGTGCCACACGCTCCTGGTCCTGGTCTGCCGTGTCAACTCTGCCTCCCACTCTTGGAGCGTACCTCCTCTTCGGTCATTTCTGACTGCTTTTGGCTCCCACACACCACGCAGGGCTCTACCCTTGAGCCTTCCCGGAACCCTCACCCCCTAGTTCTGCCTCCCTGCTTCTGTATGTCCAGCCCTCCTTTAAGGTCTAGCTTGGGACTGGTGGGGTGGAACTGTCTCTGATAAAACAGTCTCAAACATGTTCAACACACACGCCCAACAAAGGTAACACAGCAACAGCCACGAAGCAACAGCCACGAAACAACTCTTAGGACTGCGTGAGCCCCGAGTGTGTTCTTTCTGTGGTGAGGAGAAAGAGCAAGATGGCCCGAGAAGGTATTGGACCTGGGTTCTCGTTCCAGCTGTGCCACTGCTCAGCTGTTGGGGAGCAAATCCCTTAACTCTGATTCTGTTTCCTCTGTATAAAAGGGGATGTTCCGGCTGCTGCATGATGTTGTGAGGACTAAGTGAGGCCCCGCGGGTGAACGTGTAAATACTATACAAAGGAAAGGCGTTCTTGTCTGTCTTCTCTTTGGGTCATGCAGATGTTGATACTGTAATTTTAAGCTGTACTTGACACATCACTGAAATGGATGTGGCTCCTGTCAGGAGAAAGTTCCGGCCTAACCTAAGATTGTTGCTGGTATATATGGTTTTGTGTAACCACTTGACATCCTGTCCAGGTTTCACAGGCTCAGCAGGAGTATCTAGAGAATCACATCCAGACACAGTCGTCAGCCCTGGACAGCTTTAATGCCATGAACTCAGCCTTAGCATCGGACTCCATCGGCCTGCAGGTACTCATCTGCTCACTGTTAGACCGGTGCCCTCTGTGACAGGGTGAGCACGCTGAACCACACGTGGGCCCTGTGCCTTTGTAGAAGAGTAAACCACGGAATGTCCTCAGTTCATTATTCAGTTCCTTCAAGCATGGCCACAGTAAAGACCCTGCTAGGAAGCCAGAGAAAGAAATTAAAGAAGGCGCTTCCAAGCTGAGACTCTAAACCTTTGAGCTGCATTTGTCTTTGCCATCATTAAGATGGGGGTTCAGATTCTGAGTTGCACACAGAGGTGTCACTTTCTCCAGGAGGTGCCCCGGTGGTCATAAGTGTCAGTGCCTTAAATAGCACAGCTGCTCCTGCTGTTTGCAGCCCCAGTGCTACAGGATATTCCACCCAAGCATGGAGAAGGCAGACTTAATCAAAGACAGTCTGTATTTATTCATGGCAAGTAACTCTCAGGGCTGTTAAGCACTTTTTCCAAATTTAGAAATTCTTTTTTTCTTTTCTTTTCTTTTCTTTTCTTTTCTTTTCTTTTCTTTTCTTTTCTTTTCTTTTCTTTTCTTTTCTTGCCTTTCTTTCTTTCTTTCTTTCTTTCTTTCTTTCTTTCTTTCTTTCTTTCTTTCTTTCTTTCTTTCTTTCTTTTTTAAAGTTTATTTATTTTGAGAGAGGGAGAGGGAGCAAGCAGGGGAGGGGCAGAGAGAGGGAGAGAGAATCCCAAGCAGGCTCCACACTGTCAGTGAAGAGCCTAACGCAGGGCTTGAACTCACAAACTGTGAGATCATGACCTGAGCTGAAATCAAGAGTCAGAAGCTGAACTGACTGAAGCAGCCAGGTGCCCCAGAAATTATTTTCCAGTAAAAGAAATCGTGTGCCCAAGGAATATCTTATAGCACCAGACAGGGAAGAGAAAGACTGTGCTGTTAACCCACTTCCAGAGGATTGCTCTCGTGGTTAATCGGATTTGCTAGGAGTTAACCACTCCAGTGTTACCCATTGTTACCCTTCGAACTGAGTCCTCTATGTCCTATGCAAATTAACTTGAAACTGTTCAGAACAAAGTGTTATGTTCACCAGAAACAGCTTCCCTTGGCTTTAGCTTCCAAATATGTAAACAGTAGTTTCTGCCTCCCCTCCAAGTTTATGTGGCTTTTATCTTTTTACCCTCCTCTTAAAGGTTCCACAGCTATTTCCTATCCTTTCCGGTTCTGTATAAATAACTTATCAGATAAGTACGCACATTTTCATGTTGGGATTATGCATTTCCCTATGAACCGAATATTCCCTAACAACAAGTGTTATGGCAGTAGTACCAACCGCGAAGCGAGGCCACTGTCCAGCAGTGGGCCTGGGTGGGCGTTGTGTTTGGATTTGTCTGGGAGAACATTTGCTTCTTTCTTTCTTCTTCTTCTTCTTCTTCTTCTTCTTCTTCTTCTTTTTTTTTTTTTTTTAAAGTTTTTATTTATTTTGAGACAGCACAATGGGGAAGGGGCAGAAAGAAAGAAAGGGAGAGAGAGAATCCCAAGCAGGCTCTAAGGAACCCAGAGCCTGATGTGGGGCTCGATCTTACGAAGTGTGAGAACTAAGAGTCAGACGCTTAACCGACCGAGCCACGCGGGCTCCCCTGGGAGGCCCTTTCTGGTTGGGTCTCTGAGCCTCACCCTTTTCCTGTTCCTTCTTAGTGCATGCCACTTTTCCCCCACCTCAGGCCAACCCCTACTCTGGCTCTAGTTTATTCAGAAGCCTTTGTTTTTCTCTTTCTCCAGCCATCAACTGGTCTTAGAAAGGCTCCCTTTCCTTCTCTCTTGGACATCTTCTCATTCCTGGCCATCCAGGAAGTGCTGTACCTCATCTGAGATCAGACCTGGTCTGCATTGATACTCCTTTTCTGGTGTTTCGTCCCTGCCATACTTCTGCTCTGTCATCCTCACTGGTACCCCAGGCATTTACTTCAGAGGTCAGCTGTTAGCACAGGGTCATCTATAACCCAGGGACCCTGACTGGTTCCTAGTTGTGATCCACTGTCTTGGCCCAGGGCAAACAGCAGAGCTTTTTAATGAAAAGATTAAAAATTATTGTTAAAAGTTAGAAGCAGAAGGGGAAAGAGAAAATGGAGAAAAGAAAGGCATCATCTCACAGACAGGAGATCTGAAGATAGTTGTCATCTTATTTCTGCAAGACCCCGACCTCTTCTGTTGTCATTTTTTTTTTAATTTTTTTTTTAACGTTTATTTATTTTTGGGACAGAGAGAGACAGAGCATGAACGGGCGAGGGGCAGAGAGAGAGGGAGACACAGAATCGGAAACAGGCTCCAGGCTCTGAGCCATCAGCCCAGAGCCCGACGCGGGGCTCGAACTCACGGACTGCGAGATCGTGACCTGAGCCGAAGTCGGACGCTTAACCGACTGAGCCACCCAGGCGCCCCTCTGTTTTCATTTTTATTGACAGAGAGACCAGACTGTTGGTTTGATATCATAGGATGTTGGAAGTGGAAGGAACTGTTGAGATGATCTCCAGTCCCTTTGTTTTATGGATAAATAAACCGAGGCCAGCAGAGAAATGACTTGAACAGGGTGTCTGCCTCATAGCAGAACCATGACTAGAGCCTTGGCCTCTTGGTCCAGATGTAGGTTCATGAGCACAGGAGTTGTATCTGTAATGCCGGTGGGCCTTGGAGACGGCGTGGTTGGGCCAGGTCAGGTGGTTTCTAAAGCCCCTTGCAGCTCAAATATTTTTCTGACTCTGTGCTTCCAAATGGCTTCTCTATTTTCTTTAATGCCTTTGTACCACCATCCAAAATCCTTGCTCTTGATTAAAGTCAGTTTAGGAATGGGAGGCTTTTTATCCAAATTGGAGGCTAAGGATTTGAGGAGGCTTCAGAGACTGATCATCTACAAAAAGGACAAAAGTGTTGAGACGTCTGTCCAACACCAGTCTCCGGATCTTCTGCCTGACAGTTGAACATGATTTGGGGAGGTGTTAGATAATGCCCATAACTAAGGCTCAGTGGTAAGAATTCTGGGTTATGGAAGCTGTTCTGTGTACGGACAGTTCACCAAATAGAACCCAAAGCATTAAATAGCAATTATCAGTATAATCACTCTCGATCCGGTGGGTGGCCCGGAGTAATAATCAACGGGCTTTTGACACTTCTGGGGCCCTTGTCTGGGTCACCAAACTCTGTTCTCTGTGACTCCTTCATTGCCACCCTTCTGTGCCTAAGAGGAGAAGGTGAAGCATCTGCTGGCACTACAGGAGTCTCGACCATGCGGTGGCAGTCCTGGCTGGGGGTCTCTGAGCACAGAAGTGACAGCCTCTTTAAGGGAAAAGGGGAGTATCTTCATTCTACAAAACATGTGTTTTGTTTTATTTCGTTGTGGGAATTTGAAAGATACAGAAGACACATGGAAGGAAATAAATATCCTTCATAATCCTATGACACAGAGATAACCACTATTTGGATTTTGGTGATATGGATCTTAGTCTTTAAAATTTTTTTTCTCTGCATAAACACATTTGAACACATGCTTATACGTTTTCCTTTTCAAAATAGGATTGTTCTGTCCACGATTTTCCAACCCATTTTTTTCCATGTGAAATGACGGGTTATGAATACTTTTCCTTGGAAAGTCTCCTTTTAATCCATTTCCGTCCATCCTAAGCAGTGGCAAGTGGTGTGGGCAGAGGTTGTGGGGTGTCACGGGGGATGCTTGCTGGCCCATTTGACTACAGAGCTGCAGACCTCTTGACTATGCTATGGGGGAACCCACAGCCCCTTAGACACCAGGGTCCCGGCTTGCAACTGTTGGGGCCTGACATCTGTCTCAATGGTTAATGGCAAAGGGATGTCCTGGTGCATGAATTGGCCATATCGTCTCACACCACCAGATCTGGTTTTGCTTTCTTTTCATCCCACTAGAAAACCCTCGTGGATGTTACTTTGGAAAATAGCAACATTAAGGACCAGATCAGAAATCTGCAGCAGACCTATGAAGCATCCATGGACAAGCTGCGGGAAAAGCAGAGGCAGTTAGAGGCAGCGCAAGTTGAAAACCAGCTGCTGAAAATGAAGGTAACGTGTAGAGGCAGAGACTTCCGCCTGACCCTTCTCTTCTTTCCTTTTTCTCTCTCTTCCTAGCCTCAACATTCCATCTCCTTTTCTCTGTTTTCTTAGTTGGCGTTTCCTTCCCTTTAGTGGCCAGCTCCACCGGGTGTGGCTTGAAGGCACCGAGGGGGTTTCTGTGTTCCCTACTGTCAGTCCAGATTGGGGTGCACCATGAATACTCCCAAGTGGGCACTCCTTCCTGGCCCCAGTGGCCTCAAGGGCTGCTGAGACAGTCACCATGGCACTGCTGTTTCATATGGAGAGGGCACTGGGGGTGCCCACAGACCTAGGACTTCAGAAGCCCCACTGTTTAGATTTGCTCTGATATCTCTAGGTTTTTCTGTCTGGTTTGATAATAAAGAGCCTAAGAGCATGCAGGAAGAAGACTGATGGGTGACCAACGGCTCTGGACAGTGTTCCTCTTGCCCACCAGGCTGGGCTTATTCCTCAGCTGGGCTTCTAATGCCTTGGAGGTCTTAGTGCCCCTTCCACATTTGACACAAGATTGAATTCCTACCCACTGGCAGGAGCAGACCCAAGAATGGCTCATGGGATTCACTCAGCAAATTATTTCCGGAATGAATTTGTTTTTACTTAAGTATGTGGTTTTTAAAAAGTGTTCCACACAGCATTAGGCAGCCCTGGAGGAGCATGCCTCATAGATAGTACATCCATATAATTCATTGCTCGAAGCAGAATACATTTGGGAATGAAAGGTGGTGTTATTAAGAATTGATTTATGGAGACGAACTGGGACATGTGGTCATGTGGCCCCCCCTGTGTGTGGGCTGCCTCGGATGGGGCGGGGGGCTGCCACCCTACACTGTGTAATCACAGTGATTCTCATCCCACGGGTTCGTGCCATCACAGTCCACTTGGCCCAACCCAGCCACCCTGACCAGGTAGCTCTAGAGCAGATCAGCTCCTCTTTGCTTTGCTTCAAACAGGGCAGCTCTTCTCTTTATTATTGCATATATTGTATTTCTGAGTAAGAGTTACTTTGAAAAAAAGGGATGTGTTGCTGAAAAACCCCGAAATTACTGTTTTAAGTCTTTTTCTCAGCTTAGGATCTTGATCCAGTCGTTCATCCCACTAGCATGTATTCAGTGCGTACCATACATGTCTGCCCTGTACGTTCCTGTGTGTTCCAGGAAGGTGTGGTGTCAGGCGTCCAGGGACATCATTAGGCAGTGTGGTAGTCTGGCTGCTTCCACGGAGACCAAGCCTCTATGCTACATCTCATCCTCAGTTGCCTGTTTTAGAGGCTGATGCTGTACTTCACTAGTGTTCCCAACCCCCACAGAAAGAGTTGCAGGACTCAGAGTATTTCACACGACCTAGATGCAGAGCAGGACAGGAGGGACAGAGCTCTTTCTAGACGTCTGTGTGCACAGTGGAGATGGGGTGCAGGACACATTGTGTGTCTCCCAGCTGATGATAATCGCTCTTCAGGGTATCCTACTTGGTGGCCCTTGCAGCAGAACTTCTCCAGTGATAGAGAAGGTTGAATTAGAGGGTGACAAGAGAGACTTTTGTCAAATCTTAGAAATAAACGTCATGTACCCTATTGAGGTTGAAGTATACCTTCCTTATCCAGAGGTTACATATCCAGAAAGCAAACACCAG